TTAATGTTAGTATATATTATGGGTCAAATTATGTTCTTTTTTCTAATGTTATTGCAAACCTTAGGGTCAAGTTATATTAAACTTAATTTTGGTCTGGGTCAAATCATATAACAAAAGGAAATTTTTATTACTGACCTATCTATGAAACCTAGTATGCCCCAATTTAATTTTCTTTAAGATTTATATCTATAGTAACTCCTTCTTGTTTCTTACTTCTCCAATGCTCATATGCTTTTTCAAAATTAACTTCTGGTTCATTTAATAATATCATTAAATGATTACTCAAAGTACCAATATTCATTACATTTCTTGATTTATTTTTTATTAAATTTTGTTGTGAGAATATTCTTTCTATTTGAGCATTAGAAAGAGGTATAACCAGTGCTATTTTAAGAATAATTGTTGTTGTTGGATGATTAGAAGAAAAATTCTCATCATTATCTAATATATGTTTCCACAATTGATTAAAGTATTTTTGTACAATTGTAGATAAGATTTTACAGGGCTCCATTCTTCTGAGTTTTCCTTTTTCATAATTTTATAAAATTCATTATCACCCACAAATTTAATTTCATCATAAAATTTATCTAGGAAATCTATCTCATTTATTCCATATACAACCAAATCTCTCTCATTATCAAGAAGTTCTTTTGGATCAAATATATTAAGAGAAATATAATTAATTCTATTATTCCAAATGAGTATTCTCTGACAAATGAATGTACTACTAACTGATTATGTTCATGTAAATATTTTCTAAATATTACACCATAATTTGGTAGAACATCCACATAACCTTATAAATCCCAGAGGTTATATCTTTAATTGTGTTGCCAAGTGCTAATTTAAACTTTGATAATGATAAATTTTCTAATTGAAATGTATTGATTAATTTTTTTAAAATATTTGATAAATCAGCAAGAAACATTGTTGCAGAAATAAATTCTTGATCTAATTGATCCAACAGAGGCTGTGATTGTTCATCACCTTATACAGCATCATCATTTATGGCAGCAAGTACAGAGTTCATGATTTGATTTAAATTATTCACAACATTGAAAATGACAGCCACCAAGTGTTACATAAAATTATTGACAATGAACAATGTACTTATTATATTTATTCTAGAGGTTGGAATAATCCAAAAAAATCCTTAGTTGACTACTAGTCATTCAAAAATTTCTTTAGTAGACTAAATTTTTTTT